CATCATGGAGTGACTTTGCCAGTCAAGCCTTTGATGTGAGAGCATTATAAGCTCTAGAAAATCTCTGTGAGGAGAGTCAGAAAGTGTGTGTATTTAGGCAATAATAATAATAATAATAATAAATAAAGACCAGGGTCAAAACTGTTGCTAGACTAAAATTTTAGGACAGGAGCAATGTTTGTGACTAAAAAGACAGGCCTTACTTACATTTAAATGAGGTAGTAGTAGTAGTAGTGGTAGTATTAGTAGTAGTACTAGTAGTAGTGCAGTAGATGGAGGTCAGTGTGCCCCCAGTTTGGAGAAGCAAGAGCATATCATTATATTATGGAAAGACCTGTAAGCAGAGTCCCCTCCTTTGGCACTACATTGCCTCCATCAATAAATTCCTTATTCCTTTGCCGAACTGTGCTGTGCACAGTGTATCACCTCGCATATCAGCTCCTTAGACCAGAGTTACAGTGGTTTATGGAACAGAAAACAAGTCAACTGAGCGAGTAAAAATCTGTGATGAAATACCGTTCACCTTCGAGGCAAGAGGATACTTTATGATAGTCTTCTGAGTATACAGAAGAAGAGCTTGTGCAGATGGATACTAAACAGGCTGAGGAAATGTAGTGCCAAAGGAAAGGGCTGTCTGACTGCAAAGTGAAGTGGTGTAAATGTTCCTAATATAGTGTACACTTAAACTTAAGGTGAGAGGTTTGTGACTAAAATACGTTTTTCTGCTGACCCTGTATTCAGCAGTGCATTGCTTGGTTTTCCCCCTGTTCAGTTTACTGGATGTGATACACTGAATATGGAGTACCTCATACAATCCCACTTAAAAAAAAAAACTATCCCTTTAATATCATGCCATATAAGTGTCAAATATTCACTTTTCTTATTTTTTACAATGCTATATTGTCAAAATAATGAAAATTGGCCACTTTATTTTGTTAATGTTGAATTGGCCCTGCACATTTCTGTTCCTAAGAACCCTTTTCAACAGTAAACAATATTCCAATGTGCAATTCAGCAAGGCATTTAACTGTCTGAAGTAGTGAAGATCATGCGTGCTAAGCAAACCATCCCTGATTGGTAGAAAAAAAGGTAATACAGTTAAGCTTCTGAAAGAATGGTTGCAATGCTGCATAACAGTGAGTCACAGAGTGGGAAAAAAAAGTTGCTGCTACACCAATGGGGACGAGCAGACACTAGTTGAGGAGAAAGAGATGAGGAGAACGGGCGGAGCAGCAGCGGCCATGTTTGTAAGTCTGTAAGTTGTTACCTACTTGGCGGGGCTGCAGGTATGCAACGCCTTCAAATGAGGCTTCCAGGTAGCAATGGAAACCGAGTTCTCATCAGCAGCATAACTACGCCAGACACACTACGTGCAGAGTCGACAGGATAAATAAAATATTGATAAATGAAATAATTAACAGGGTAAAATGAGGGAGGGGCGAGGGATGAACATATAAGTTGGGTAGGAGGTGAGAGAAGGAAGGTGAGGAGGGAAAAAAAGAAAAGGCTGATTAGTTTTTTGGGTAATGTTTTTGCATTCTGGTTGGGGGTTGTCGAAGGGAGGTGGGGCGGTGATGGTCGTGCTGGTGGAGGTGCTGGTGGAGGTGCTGGTGGAGGTGGGGATACATGCCTGAGGGGGGGGAGGGCACTTTGGTAGTGGTGCCAGGTGGCTCTGAGGTAGGGACGAGCACCGTCGGTGGAGTACAGACGCCAAGCCGCCTAGGTGGGGGAGGGAGCAGAGATGGATAGGACACGCACATTCACACATGTACACACACACCTAAACACACAAACATGACACAGAAGGGCAATGGCACACATATGGTGACTGAGATATATGTGAACATGTAACATACACAGGGCGTTTGGGGGGATGTAACCAGCTGGCGGCCATATTGGAGGTTCTCAGGGCTACGAAGAGAGGAGTGTGTGTGTTTCTACATAAAGACTTTTGTTAATCTCACATAATGCAATGGGAACCCATCATTTCAAATTCAATCTCATAAGCAAAGTCAGTGTAGGTTTCTTCTAACCATGACCACCATCCTTCCCAACATTAACCAAGCAGTATCTTGGTAGGTTGAATGGTAAGTAACATACTTTGACTTTAAGAGCTATTTGGACTAAATAGACATTTTAAAACCAATCAAATCCAGTCAAATGTCCAATGACTTGACTTGGCTAGTTCAACAATAGCTGTGGTCATGTTTGTCTGCTTTGCTAAACAGACTTGCTGATCCAGAGAAGTAGTCAACGGTATTTGAGGTTTAACTGAGTGCAAGATGTAACTCATGTTTTCACTCTGAATAAAGATAAGTAAATGGCTGGATATATCGGTTGGGTGCCGTTCAATGGTACTGGTACCACATGTCACACCCTCATTGCCACACAGATGCAGAATGTATCATTTTGGCTCAACAGTAACCCTCACTTGGAAAATAATGTACCAGTCAATCTGCAGAAATTACCTACATCGACCACGATCATTTTAACAGGTTGTTTTCTTAAACCATTATTTACTTACAGCCGAATGAACCTCCTCAATGGTGCCAGGTGGGGTTACAAGATTTGTGACACGACTGGAGAGTCTTTGTATAAACACTTTACACAGACAGGGTGGGAAATTAACACCAGCCACCTGCCAAATGCTGGTCAATTTTGGCTGTTGCTTGTTATGCTACTCTAGAGACCACTTTAAAGTCATTTGGAGATTCAATCTTGTTCTAAAAATACAGTTGGAAGGCGAAATAGTTATTGCAGCAGGTGAAATTTAGAACTGACCAGCTGCAGAGGCTTGTGGTAATATCCTGCCCAGCATACAGACACATACACACAGTGGTTTAAAGCAGGGAGAGCTGTGTAAGATGGGGGAGTGAAGTGACGGACAGAATAGTAATGTCATCCACATATTTAACACATCAAAGCTGCTTCCAAGTTTCCTTTTACCTGTTGAGGAAAATGTTATGAGCTTGGCAGACAACAGACAATGACCAGGTGCTTGACATACAGCCAATAAAACAGAAAAAAGATCAACACATGGAATTAATTGCTACCTTAGTGGGTTATTTAAGATCAATTGGACACTGGTCTTTGTCAAGCTTTGTTTAGGTTGAATCAATTATTCACACAAATACGTATGAAAATATATCATTAATTTCATACTGAGATCTGGGAACGTACTGACATTAAGGTGAGGCAATAAGACTGGTTTTAAATAAATCCCAACATTACCCATGTCAAATAAACCACATATTTGGAAGTGAAACAAAGGTGAATGCACCCATACCTGTCCTAATATATAATATAATAAACCACTGTATTATAACACAAACATGTCCATCACTAAGTCAAGTTTTGTAGGTAAAGTTGAGTGAGGACAAAGAAGCTTTGACATGTAAATACTTTCTAAGTTAACACTAGCAGTTGATATCAAACAGATGACAAAGTATCTAAGCAATTGTGGCAAGTGTAATAATGCAAAATTGTATGTATAGCCATATAATTTCCATTTACTGTAACACCCTGCGATCAAAAGTGTATGCAGGGTGTTAAGACAAACAGTGACGTCTATGGCTTTTACTATTTTACAACCTGTGGTGGCTTTTCTATTAGTGTAGTTCCAGTGATATGTTTACACAACCATGTAATAGTTATTTGCTTTAAAAGTTGACAAGAATCACAATTGTTGTGTATTAAACAATTGCCGCAATGGATTATGGCAAAAACGCAGCAATTCTTGTCAATATTTGTAGCTGTGTTTGAAGAGGGACAGGCCTTTCCAGCCTGCTGAGACATAGACTTTAAGACACAAATGTAATATGTTTACAACAGACAGTTTGGGCAACAATTTACAGGGTTATTTCCACTTCCAAATGTGTAGTTTTGAAAACTGTGTTCAAGTTTTGGACTTCTGATTGACTGCTTGTGTTTGCCCCCAGAAATCCTAGCTATAGCTGTATATATCAGCTGGTACACCAGGTAATACAATATCCCCATATTTTGAAAGTATTATATTATCTTAACTGATATAAATTATTACCAAATCTAAAGCAATGATTTTTCTGAAGGACAAAAAATAATACAATAGCAGGTGCTTTATTTAATGGAAAAATTCAAAAAGTAGGTCAAGGTAGAGAAGGTAGACAGACAGAACACACACACACACATAGCAAACACAGCACTCTCAGGACACACACACATGCAAACATAGAGAAACATAACACACAGACAATAGCACACTTTTGGCTACACACACACACACTCTACAGGATATATTTATTGTTCATTATAAAGTAATGCAGCTGGTCTTGTCTATTACAATGAGTGACGATTTGGAGGAGCGTCCGCCCAGGGAATGATCGCCATGGAAACGGCTCATAAATCCCAGCAGTGTGTGTTGCTGTTGGACCTGAGAGACGACAGCACGCCTCACACACCGTTAGTCATCATGAGCTACACATCCTGACAGCCCAGAGACGGGCAAAACACACACACACACACTCATAAATACTTAATGAAACACCTTCACTCTGATAGGAGGAGAGATGGTGAAACCACTCATACACACTTCAACATATTCCCAACACAATCATTAAAGGGGTGAAAAGAGTGGACAAACACACTGCTTTTATTCAGTTACAGAGACACACTGTGAGAGGCTTAGAGATGCTCAAAACAGACATGAAGCACATACATGAAAAGCTGCACATAAAAGGAGAGAAAGTTCTCTGTATTCACACTGATCCTGAACTGCCCAAAAAAATCCAGTCAAGTGTGTTTGTTCCCTGTGTGTGTCTACCTGGATGAGGCTGGCAGCTGGGTTCCTCCTCTTTTCAAAGTGCTTCTGTCGATGCTGCTCTTGCACTTTCAGGGCAAAACCTGACCCTAGGATGCCCTACACGCAGAAACACACACAAACACACATGCAAACACTGAGTTTTAAAAAAAAACTTGGTCCCTGCTGCTGTTAGTATTAACCTAATGGAGCTGTGAGGACATAAAAATGATAATCTTGGTGTTTTAATCATTTGTCTGACTCACAGCTGGCAGGGCGAAGAAGGAGATCCCCAGCAGAGCAAAACCAGCTGATAATAACCGTCCAGTCCACGTCTGCGGGGTCTTGTCACCGTAGCCGATGGTTGTAAGAGTGATCTGAAGGGTCAGAGGTCAATACTCAGGTAACTAGGGCTTGGTCTGAAATCTGTCTCTCACTGACTCATCCACAGTAAAGTTGTGGACACTGACTGCTGTAGTCTTGGATGATTGTCATTTTTGTCATCAATGAAATATGGCGCATTGCAGTCAGACACTAAAAAAAAAATGGTTGACAGGAAAAAATAGTGCTATGTAGTAAATAGAAAGTGATTTTAGACACAGTCCAGAAATATATGGGTTAGATCCTACATATAGTACTGATACATCAACATAAATATAACTTTTTATTCTTAACATACACATAAAACAGGTTTACTTTTGTACACTAACTGACTGCTCCTTGGTCTTACTTTCTAAATTTAATTTCATGCAAAGCTTCGGTGGGTTTTTGTGAGCAAATCTTGTACACAAGCTGGTTGAATGTCTCACAGCTGTCCATGTCCAACATGTTTGTTTCACAAACTGCTTGCCTTTAGTGGTCAGAAGGAAGAAATTGCAAGGTAATAAGAGAGGATAGTGCTAATATTGTAAAGTCTAGCATTTCTTATTAATTAGTGTTAACTTTGATTACTTTCCAACTTCACAGTAGCAAAACAGAAAGCGGGATAACTGTAGCCTGGTCACCTTGTGAATGCCATGGTCATGATGAAATCAGCTTTTACCTCTGTTAATAGATTTAATGAGTCTTAAAAGCATGAGATGATGGCAATCACAATTTAAATACATGAATAGAACTCCAACATCTGTTCAATGGTTGAGTGTGTGCCATTAAACAGACTGATGTCTAAAGACGGTTTATATGTTTTTCAAATAAGTAAACACACTGAATAAAAGACTGAATAAGCACATAGAAAATTGTGACTAATGCAGATTTAAATGGATGCTGGACTCTCAATGGTGACGGCTCACTGACTCATACATCTTAAAAGCTTACGTGGCTAACTAAACTTCACCTTTTCACAGAAATTACATAACAGCTTTTAGTATCTACCAGAAAGACGCTCCAAGGCCACAGAATGTAATGCAGTGTGTCCGAGCGTCATTCCCAAAAGCCTAACAGGCCAGTCTCACCTGGCAGCAGGAGAAAATTGAATTTATTGATCGGGCCATTTCTTGTTCGTGTGTTGTCTGTTTCCACGTTCTCAAGGAATAATGGGTTTTAGATGTAGGAGGAAACAGTGCAGTACAGCCAGCCAACTGTGACTTTAAAGGCCTTTGTGTTGGTTTTTGTATTGCAGGTGTCATTAAGGTCACAAATAAACTGGAAAAAGAAATATATCACAGTTAAAAACAGGATGACTGCAGTTTTGTTGCTGCCTTTGATTTGGATTAAAGTGGCACTTAATTAAACAAATGATGAAGTCCTAAAAAATATCAGACTTGTTGACATTAAATCATACCACAAAAAAGTCTGACTTTCAAAACACTAGCAAAGTATGATTTTTATTTATTTGGTGTTTAAAAAAGGCCTAAAGTATGCTCAAGTGTATGAATGTGTGCTCACCGTGCCCCACCACAGAGCGTCGGCATAGGTGGCGAACTCCTTGTTGAATTCTTTTTCCACCAGATAGACCAAGAAGGAGGAGAAGATGAGCACCAGGAACCCAATATACCAGGCAGTCACCAGCTCCTACAACAGACACAGATGAAAAAACAAAACATTAAGCTTTATACTGTACTCCACAGCTCAAAGGGACATTCACCATGACATTAGAGTAACAGTTAAGATAACAATCTCAACTGTTACTCTATTGTAACTAAACTTACTCCCAATTCACAAATGTGCTGTCTTAAACACAGTCAGTTTTTCCTTTCCAAACCCTTTTAAATTGTCTGTCTGTTTTAGAAAAGTGCTACAGTACATAAATAAAGTTTGATATTATTATTAGTACAGCTCCTTGTGCAACAGTAGTCTGGAATACACAGGAGAATAACTGGCAGAATGAAAAGCAATATCCATCATGACTGAATGGGCAAAAAGCACAACTAAGATAATGTAGATAAAAAAAAGGTAAAACAATGGCGCTTGCACTGTATCTGAAGTATCTGAAACATAAATTAAGTTCAGAAGAGGAGAAACTGTTCGAAACATGTCCTACCTTACTATGTGCATAAACTACAGATCCCAGCAGCTTCCAGGTCCCTCCCCTGCGGTCCATGCGCACCATGCGCAGGATCTGAAGGAAACGAAGGCTACGTAGCGCAGAGGTGGCAAAGATGTTACCCTGGCTACCGGCGGACACCACGGCAACAGAGGCGATGAGTACAATGATGTCTGGGGAGTAAGGGTTAAAATTAAAGGTCACAGGTTCCGCAATATTAGCAACAGGAACTGCGGTTGACTCACCTACTTTTTAGATCTATCCACCCGTCCATTCATCACCTTTAAAACAACTATTGATTCACTACAAGCTGTTTGTTCCTTCTCTATCTCTATTAGTCTTCTTCTGTCATCCTGTCTACAACCCTAAAATAACCCACTTTTTCTTCTCTTGTATTTCCCAGCAGACTGACTTCCTCCCTGCTGGAGCAACCTAAGCAGGATAGAGAACCACTATCTTCTGAATGTATTCAGGGGACACTTTAAAAACAGCACTTCCACATTGGAATCAATCAATACCTGGGGACAATCTCTTAAAATTACTGACTAAGGTTATAACAGGATGATATTGTGAATATCAAACAGAAATACATGTTACTGTCAATACTGCTGCAAGAAAATCTGTAGTTTTCTTGAATGCAAATCACCTGGGAAATATTAAGCCTGAGGTAAGAGTAAACAGATGCCATAAATGTATTTGGAATTTTGAATGGTTTCACTGATAAAGTATATTGTTACATAGCAACACCATTAGTATTTTATTTATTTGTTTTTTGCCCAGACATCCAGTTAAATCCGGTCAAAAAGTGTGATGTGATGATGACTGGCATAGAGAGACATCTTTTAAGTAAAGCCAGGCTTCATTAGTTTTGTCAGATGGAGTGACACACACACACACACCTACCAATGACACAGAACGGCTTCCTGGCGAAGCGGAGGCGTCCCTGCCAGCCTCGGTAGCGGCAGCAGCATCCAGCGCTCCATATCCTGATGATGTACTCCAGACCAAACACTACAATCATCACAAACTCCTGTAGGACACACACACACAAAACCCAACATACTTGAACCTTTCAATGCTACAAATGCAGAAGCACAAAAAATACATAAAGTCAAGTCAAGGAAGTTATAGTTTTTTGCTAAGCTGTGACTCTACCACCGAAACTATACAGAAAACACATGTACTCTCACACACAAACCAAACTGAAATAAATGACTTGTGCTTTCATTACTGTACTTGAGTACATCGCTTTGAGTGTGTTTTTACGTCACTAATAAGCTTTTTTTTAATGGTACATATGTTCACATGTCCTGGGAGGAAAACATGTAATTAATAACATGAATAATGGCTGGATTCCATTTAGGTGTACCAGTTCTAGGCTCCAAGTCCGTCTTATGCTGGCTCACGAGCATGACTTACTGTGACACATAGTAAAACAGAGCCATCGTTCCTGTTATTAGTTACACTTG